TTGGAAAATGCTAACTTTAGCCTGATAGCACTGAAAGTGAACGTCCCACCCTCCCTCCAATCGCCAAATCCAAAGCCATGCCCCCTGAACGCATATATACGCTCACAGACCAGAATACGAGAGACAACATAGGCTACATCAGCGGTTCCCAATTCCAGCCCATGTTCCGAAGTGAAGTAAATTTAAACGGATTTCCCCTGCTCAGGGAGTAGGGAGCAGTGAACACTGTGTAGGGATCATATCGATCGGAACAGTTCATGCACGTAGCTCAATTCTAACGAGCTGGTTATCTGAATCGGGTGTGTTAACTAAGCGAGACATGCAAAATATGCATTTTGGCGCGAGGACTGGAATTGGGAACGGCTTGGCTACATCATGTGTCATTCACCAGTGAGAAAACATTAAAAGCACTACAATTCCAGGAAGGAAGATTGGGTTGTTGATGTTTGTCTGCCATTCTCGCTCTGTCTGCACAGCGTGCATGAATGCGCTGATGACGTATCCTGCCTGCGCGAACCGGGTGTGCAGAGGTATGCAAAAAGGAAAGCCAATTAAAACGCTCGGACCGAGCGCTTTGATTGGATGAACATTTCTTGGTCCTACGCCTTCCACAGAATATATAAATACAGATAAATACATTTAGACCACTTAACTTAATGATTGCTATCGGGATGTGAAGAGACTTTCAGCCAGCATAACAAAAAATGTTTCTGAAGACAATCAATCACCTGTTGCACCTTTGATGAATTGTTGTTCAGTTTGCATAATTAGCTTGTTTGAGCAACTGAGTTATTTCTTCATCATCAAAGGAAGGCGAAGCCACAGAGATTTTATTTATTAACAGAAAACAAAGAGGACACAATCAATATGCGTTGCATTCGTGTTCAGTGTCTGTGAGTTTAGATGTTAATCTGTGTTTAATTTTGCATTTATTAAAGGATGCATATTAGTTTTATTCCTTACATGTTTCTCATAATTTCTAGACTCATTATTTAACTAAGCACTGTGATTAACTAAGCTGCAGACCTTCTCACGGCCACATTTGATTTGATTATAGATATGCTTTCAATCATTTTACAGGGGCTATTTGACAGATATGTGACCTGCTCTGATTGTTATTCGTAAGTGATGTGCAGCAAGATGGCCTTCCACGGCTCGTAAAATGATGAGCTATACTTGCTGATTTGCAGCACTGTAGTGGGAGATCTTTACAGCAAACATAAAATAACCAACCTGGCAAAAATTTTGGAGCATCGCTGTGAAGGGTATGTAGGCCTGTGCAGAGGCAAAATCAGTTTTACCATCAGAGGAAAAAGTGCAGTTGCATCTGAAATAAGAAAAGTGGCAGTGCAAGTTTTCTACAAATTAATTTTTATTAGACTTTGCTTGGATCATTAACTATATCAGCATAATTTCATAAGCAAATGTCATTAAGCTGATACAGTCTGATTGTCTGGTTAGTATGAATGGGAGTCAGTGACGTAATTACTTTATTGTACCACAGCCTGCTTGTGCATCAGTTGTTGGCAAATGTACACTCATGGATATCAGCACCTTTGTTCTTTATTTTTGTGATTGTTTTTACATAGTCAGTGGCTCCCAAAAAATAGTTTGAACACTGAGGTCAAATGAAGAAATATAAGAAGGTCATTGCAATAAATAAGAAAATATCAAACCATTTTTTGGAAAGGAAAGATGGAACCTTTTAATTAAAACATTTCACAAATAGAAGTTTGTTAGATTCGACATCAGAGGTCTTCAACCCTGCTCCTGGGGACCCACTGTCCTGCAGAGCAGGGCCGCTGCTGACCAAATGGGTGCCCTAAGCAGGATTGTATTGTTGTGTCCCCCTTCCTCAAATATTATGGAAGTAAAAAAAAAATAATAATAAAAAAAACAAAAAAAAAAACACCAACTGTAGGGGTCAAAATAGAACTTTAATAAAATATAAAAGTAAATAAATAAATAAATTGTATTATTTACAAATTACAATTGTAGCGCTAGACAGTTACCTATGGCTATGACTTTATTAAACAGTTGTCTAATTGATTTTATAGTCTCAAGCATTCAGAAATCATGCAAAAGAAAATTTAAGCAGTTTTACTATGATAAAACCATGGTTTATTTTTGTAAGGGTTGTGATGTCCACATGTTTTTTTGTTGAAGAAATTATAGAGGCTGTGTCATCTATAGCAAAAAGCTGGCCAAAAATGAAAGATTAAGTGAATATTTGAATTAAATGTTTGGCCAATAGCCTAAACAAGGAATTGATTGTCCTGTACGTGTAGCAGCAGCAATTACCAGGCCTTTGGCCTTCGTTTTCACCTTTTTTTTCTTTCTTTTTCTTTTCTCTGCGCCGGATTGCTGATGTCTTTTCACTGGCATAGATGTCCATCCATCAATTATGATCATTTGCATTCAGCCGCAAACATGAGGTGGGAGCGGTCGCGAGTGCGGATGGGGGAATGGTGCATCAAGGTTTTTTTTTTTATGAGCATCTGGGTGCCCCCCTGGGAGTTGGTGCCCTACGCAAACTGCGTACTCTGCGTATAGGGAGCGGCGGTACTGCTGCAGAGTGCCGCTCCAACCCTAATCAAACACACCTGAACCAGCTAATCAAGGTCTTCAGGATCACTTGAAAAGTCACATGCTAGGTGTGCTGAAGCAGGTTGGAAGTAAACTTTGCAGGACAGTGGGTCCCCAGGAGCAGGGTTGAAGACCTATGTTCTACATCAGCGGTTCTCAATTCCAGTCCTCGCGTACCCCCGCTCTGCACATTTTGTATGTTTCTCTTATTGCTTCAGACGTTTGTTATATTGATTCCAGTTTGAAGGGAGCGTATATGTTCCATACAAAGGGCATTTAAGTGTGCGAGACGTGAATTTAATTGTATTTATTTACAGAGGTATATTATGTCCCACTTCACGCTTCTCTAGTAAGTTTCGTATGTGTGTGAAGACGCTGCAGGCTGTCTGTAAATGAATATTTCGAAGTGAAGTAAACTTCAATGGATTTCCCTGCTCAGGGAGTAGGGAGCAATGGACACTGTGTAGGGACCATGTCAATCGGAACACAGTTCATGCACGAGCTCACGTCTAACGAGATGATGATCTGAATCAGGTGTGTTAACAAAGAGAGACATGAAAAACATGCAAAGCGGGGGTACGCGAGGACTGGAATTGAGAACCGCTGCTCTACATGATATGATAACAATAGATATGCTTTTCAAAATTAATCAGAAAATGTATAAATAACTGTCTTATCAACTTGGCCAAACTTTATCAGCTGATTGAAAGTCATTGCAAAAATGGCTTAGAAAAGTGTAGTTAATTCTGAGATCTAGCATCATTTGTTTAGAAGAGGGTTTGATATTTTGTTGTCTGATGCAATGATTTCATCCATTTGTAGGTGTATGGTAAGTACATTTTTTAAGGCCACGGTATATTATAATCACGAACAGGAGGTGCATTAATAAAGTTCATGACCACTCAAATGTTTGATTCTGATAAGCCATTAAATGTCAGTAAATAGAGTACCTTATGAATATTTTCTCCTCTTCAACCACAGAGAACATCTGGCAGAATTATTGTGACATAGTACTACCGATTCATCTAAACTGCTCTATTCCGTGTGCATGGTTTTAAAATGTTTGGATAGATAGGTCTGCAGTAATTTTGCTTTCAAGCAAAATGGATGTTTTGATATTTCATAACCACTTTCATGAATTCTTATGACAATAATAATGTCATAGTCACATTCTTCATCTCATACAGACATATAATGCCTTAGGAACTTCATTTCAGAATGTAATTTCTAGGAAGCTTTATAAATGTTTATGCATCTATGATTGAATTTAATTGAAACCCCACCCCCCCCCCCCCCCCCCTTTTTTTGTGTCTTACAACACAGCATAGGTATGAAGGCTAGAAAGACACAGCACAAATGATAAAATCCCATTACTGGAAAATGTCCAGGCTTTGGCCAAGACCTTCACATAAAGAACATGTGTATTTTACCCAGACCTCTAACGTTCTGAGCCAATGTTTAGTTGGGAACTCACTGCTGACATAATGCTTCGCTTCATCCCCCCCACCTCCCCATTTATTTTGACAAAAACAACACCTAGGCTTTCCTTTGTGTATTAAGGTAAGTTGGACAAAGGTTGGTAGCAGAGTCACTGAACAGCCAGACAAATATAACTGATTTGGTTGACTGACAATCATTTAGATTATAATTAGGGAGTAATAGGATGGCCGAGGCATATCTCTCAGGACATTTCCTTTCATACTATAGTGGGCTCATGTCCAAGCTTATTGGAAAACTGGCTTACTCTGATTGCATGTTCGCCATTGCCAGAGAGAAGAATTAAACAACGTGGCATTACTGGATTGATTTCCACAATCACCAGTGTTAATTGGGTCCTGTGGTATCATATTGCTGTATAAATGTAATATTTTAAGGGGTTATAATCACAGAACAATTGCAATATTTCTTCTCTCATTAGTTGTCTTAATCTCTGCTTTGAAACTGCTCAACAATTAGGGCTGGGTATTGTCAACTACCTCACAATATGATCCACATCATATTGCACATTTCACGATTCAACACATCGCAATGCATCACAGCGTCCTAATAGGATCACGATTGGATTTGCGCCAAAAAAGTGAGAGAGATAATCTGTCAGGGAGAGTGAATATGCTATATGTGTTTCAAACTCTCTTGCTGTTTGACTTACTTTTGCCCAGTATTGTGTATAATACTGTATGTACACATTAAATTCAAGTTAAATTGAATAAATCCCATTTTAAGTAACATGATTTAGATAATATGCCATTCATTTGTGTATTAGTAATATCAGGAAGTAAGTAGTTTCTTGACTGTTTTTTTTTTTCCATTTTAGGCTTTGCCATGAGGCACCGCTGGTTCATGGTGCCACTGCTAATGCAGGCATGGCTGTCTGCCACCCCTTGCTTTGGTGAGCGTCCTTGCCCTCGGAGCTGTCGTTGCGATGGCAAAATTGTATACTGTGAGTCTAGTGCATTCCGTGATGTTCCCAAGAACCTCTCAGGCGGCTGTCAAGGCCTGTCCCTGCGGTATAACAGCTTAGCAAGCCTGAAGGCTGGCCAATTTGTTGGCCTCAACCAGCTCATTTGGCTGTACCTCGACCACAACTACATTGCTAATGTGGATGCACGTGCTTTTCAAGGGATACGGAGGCTCAAAGAGCTAATATTGAGCTCCAACAAGATTACACTGCTGCATAACACCACATTTCACCTGGTACCAAACTTGAGGAACCTGGACCTTTCTTATAACAAGCTACAAGCTCTACAACCAGGGCAGTTCCAGGGACTGCGCAAGCTACTCAGCTTGCACATGCGCTCCAACTCCCTTAAGAATCTTCCCTCTCGCCTTTTTCAAGACTGCCGTAATCTTGAATTCCTTGACCTTGGCTACAACCGTCTGCGCAGCATCACTCGCAATTCAATGTCTGGCCTGATGAAGCTAACTGAGCTGCATATAGAGCATAACCAGTTCTCCAAAATCAACTTTTTCAACTTTCCACGCTTCTATAACTTACGTGCTCTTTACCTACAGTGGAACCGCATTAGGACCATGAGTGAAGGCCTTACGTGGACCTGGACATCATTGCAGAAGCTAGACCTTTCAGGAAATGACCTGCAGGAGATAGATGCAGAAGTGTACCGGGCCATGCCAAATCTGCAGACGCTTAATCTTGATTCAAACAAGCTTGTCAATGTGTCTCGAGAAGCTGTGGATGCCTGGACCTCTCTGACTGCAATTAGTCTGGCAGGAAACATGTGGGACTGTGGACCAGTTGTGTGTCCACTAATGGCCTGGCTGAGAACCTTCCGTGGAAACAAAGAAATTAATATGATTTGTGCATCACCCAAAGAAGTTCAAGGGGAGAAGGTTATGGATGCAGTTGACGCCAATGGAGTTTGCAGGGTTGCCTCTGCTACGCCATCAACCGTAATTGTTCCCTCTACCTCTTTTGTCACCTTTACCCAGACCCCTGCCAGCTCTTTCATCCCAACTATCAAATCTGGAGACAGCAGAAGGGGCCAGGGGACGTCCTTGGAAGGCACCACCTCTTCAGCACCTTCTCAGCCCGCTGTCCCACCACCTGAGCAAGACTTTGAACCGGTGTCATTCCACAAGATTGTGGCAGGAAGTGTTGCCCTCTTCCTATCAGTTGCCATGATCCTCCTGGTAATTTATGTCTCATGGAAGCGCTATCCAAGCAGTGTTAAGCAGCTACAAGAAAACTCGGCTGCTGCTCGCAAACGTCGGAAAAAATCACGGGAGACAGAGCACACACTCAGCACACCATTGCAGGAGTACTATGTGGACTACAAGCCTAATAACACAGAGGGTACGGATGTGCTGGTCAATGGTACTGGACCATGCACCTACACCATCTCTGGCTCCAGAGAATGTGAGGTAAGACTCCACACAACTTATAGTCCATTGATTTTAGTGTGAAAAGAGGTCAGTTTTTTAACTGCTTTTAAGAAATTCCTTTTGTTCTTGTGCTGTTTCGATGCCCTATTTGGGAGATTTTTGTTGGATAAAAGTGTGTGCGTGGGAGGGATATGTTTTTGGCAGGGTTATTTTAGGAGGGACGTTTTTTAAATGTTTTTGGCACAGTATGCAGTTTGTTTAACCTTGGATGAGGTGTTAATTTACAATTACATATTGATTTGTTAGTGCATATTTGACGAGCCCTGTTAATTCAGTTGAGGTTTTTTTCATTTAGGAGCAGTTGTATTTTAGCCTGTGCTATGTCACATTGTATTTATGCATTGGTATGTCTACCTGCAATACCTTCTTCTATCTGTGAGGCATCTACTTGAAGAAGGTATTGCAGGTAGACATATCAGTGCATACATACAATTTGTGATTCTTTGAAAAAGTTAGTTACAGTAATCGCAGGATAACAAACTTCTTCAATAAGCTGCTGTGTCGCAATTATTTATTTGTCCTCATTAACATATGTATGCTCAATACTCCCAAAATCAAAATGAAATGGTTTTGTCTATGTGGAACTTCAAACACATCCGGTTAATGAAAAGACCTCCTAACCATCCTTCTAATCCTGACTCCTATACACACTCATTGGTTCTTTCAACACTGTTTGATGATCCTTGCTCAGTTAGTGTGAAACAGCGCAAAGCGCAGTGTGAAACACTACAATTCTCTCTATTTTCTCTCTTCTTTTCCTCGTGATCTTCCTGGGGCTATGAGAATGTCTTTAATAACAGACCCACTTTATCTTCCAAGGGCTCTTTTTTGACTTCTTCCATGTCTATGACTACATACCTATTTTTTTTTAGCCTCTTATCTTTGCTTCACATTCATCCTTCCCTCTTGAATCATCTTTCCCTCATTTTAGATCATCCTCTTTTATACTTAACCATATTCTGTAGTTCCAATTTACAAAATACTAATTTTCTTAGTGTGTCACTCAGGACTCCGCTGACAATCGTGTGTTGACAGCTGGGGTCAATTGCCACTTTTTAAGGAGCTGGTTTTGTGTGTGGTTTGTATACTTGGCTATATTTACATATGTTCATGCTTTTCCCAAGGGGCAGGTGCTACCTTTACTCCTTCGGGCTAAGAAACCTGTCAGTGGTACAGTAAGGTGTCATTAGAGGCAGACACTGCCACTGGCAGAGCCATGATAGGGTGTATATGCTGGTGGCAAGCAAGACAGGCCTGAGTGAAACAAGAAAGGCAGGAAGACATGCTAGCAGGCCAATTGGCATGATGCCAGACAGGTAAACAGGTATGCCATCACAGGAAGAGAAGACTATAAAGGTGGGTGAGAACACAAAGGCACACACAGAATGACATCCTGACAGATATGTTGACCTCTGCACACGGGCCCATGCCCCTTCTCTGATCTGCCACCTCAAAGCATTTTTTGAGATATCAGAGGTGCACATCAGAGTCCAGCAGATTGGCATGTTTTTCTCTTGTGAATTCCCCAGGTCAAAGAACAAACTTTTTTCATTATTACGTGCAAATCCCCAAGTCTCTTGCACAGCATGTGTCCCTTTTGCCATCGTGATGATAGCTCTTGTCAGCACAAAAAGAACAACTGAAAGAAGAAAACAATTTGTCTCACAGTGTTCACCTATTGCTTGACCAAAGGGCCAAGTTTTGGTTTGTTAGCATGACCTCATTAGCCCTTGCTGGCAGATACTGTAACCGTAAAAGTAAAAGCAGTAAAAGTTATTTGTCCATTAACGGTTATTCCACAATATTTTGTAATGTTTCATTATATTGTAGTAAAAATGTCTTCTTTTTTTGTGAAACAACTTTAATATGCAAGTATTTGCTTAGACCTCGCTAACTATTGCCTAAAGTTTAGGGTGAACATGTCAAGTCCATAATCATCAAAAGGCCTCACATCGAGTGCACTTACTTGACCTGTGTCTATAATGTTTTCCATTAATAGTCTATAATTCTGAATTGTTTGCCTTCTTTTTTCCCCTACCGTCTCCCATACCACAGCATTGCTGCATCAACACTAATGTGGTTTGGCTTCCCTCCCGTGCAGCAAAGCGCATGTCACCCATGATTGATGAGTTCTATTCTCTCTCCTGCGATTTGGTATTCCACACGCGCACCTGATTTACGGGCTTTTCACATCAAGCCAAAAGACTAGATTCAAACACACAGTTCAGATTGCTCCTGTCTTGAAAACCAGTGTTCTCCTCATGCCTTACATCCCTTCTGTTGTGAATCACAAATGGCATAAAGGTGTGGAAGAGACTGCTAAGAGGGATTGTCCTCTGACCTCACCTTGAAAGTGGTTCTCTGTTAACCAAGATCTAATGTCTTCTTCGATCGATTTAGATCAATCAAGCGTCTTTATCATCAGAACTCATAAAGGCTCAATGAAGTGCACCTTTAATCCATTAATTTAGGTGATGAACTTTCTTTTACTGAACAGTCATCATGCTATAGCAGACTAGAACTGTACAGTTGTTTTCCTTGCTATGGTAGTCGTGATTTAGTAATTTCGATTAATAAAATTTACATTAAAATTACGCAACTGTGCTAAAAAACACACACAGTTTGACATTTAAAATAGGTTAAACAGTTTTGCATTTCCAATATTTATTATTGTAGTTGTTGGGAGATGTCACAAAACCCATCAGTTATCTTTATGCTGTGACTTATACCTCATTACATGTTCTCATAAAACATAAAATACTCACATAAGTGCAGGAATGAGGGCGTCACACTGCCTGGCCCATTGGGGCTATCGTGTGTATATGTGTTATGGCATGGAGGCTCTGAAATAGAGCATGCTTTTGAAGGCACCTCATTCAATATTAATTCTTTTTAGTTGCGAGCAATTAGGCCAGTACCATCACATTTTGTCGTATTGTACATTATGTTGCTGTCACATTTGCATTAAAAGCTTAACCTGTCAGCCTGTGATGTGTTTCGTGGATTTAAAATTGCACTAATTGCTTTTGTAGAAAAAAGAAAAAAAAGAACAAGAACTTTGCTTCATATAACAGTGAAAGGCCTACAACAAGGGCATTAATCAACATTAGACTCAACAAATTTTAGTTAACAAATTGGTGTTGAACAGTACCTTTGACCCCAGCAAATAATGAAAATGGACTAATCCCCCCAAACAGACAAAAGTGCCTTCTGGAGATTAACGTTTGGATCACAAATCTGGCTAGCAGTTCAGATTGGGCTCATGAATTAAAAACTGAGTCTACTAAACTGGAGAGGGAAAGGTGAAGTAGAAAAAATGCACTCACATTTAAGTTCATTGTGCTCGCTGATCAAAAAAGGGAAACAATTTTTTTTCTTTCAGTAAACCGAGTCAAGAACAAAAATGCTATGTTTTTCAGTTCAGCATTAAACATGGGAAACAAGAGTCGGCGCCGATAGCCTTGTGGTTAGTACGGTGACCCGAGTTCGATTCCTGCCACAAGGTCCTTTGCCGATCCCGCTCCCCTCTCTCCACCCAACGCTTTCCTGTCCACTTTCTACTGTCCTCTCCCATTAAAGGCATAAAAAAGCCCATAAATATAACTTAAAAAAAAGCATATATTTAAAAAGGGTATAACATGAACAGCTGTTTGTAATCATGAGAAAAAAAGGTGAATTTTCTTATATCATTTTGTATCAAAGCACATTTTTGATATTTTACTTTTATTTATTTTTATTTTATTTTATTTCTTTATCGCCATTATTATTTTTATTTGAAGTTGTCACTGGACCACTTTTTTTAAGAAGTCAGATTTCTCTGTCTGTTTCTATTAAAGATGCATTCTTCTAATTTCAGTTGATAGCATACATCCTGAAATACAATCAGTAGTATTAATTGCACCTCTAGCACATTTCTCTTTGATTAGAGGACAGTTTAAATATAAAGTGGCACAGCTTACCCCACTCTCTCCTACTGCAAATGAACATTACTGGATGAGTCTAGCAGAAAAAGGCAAGAATCTTCTCTGATAGTAAAAGAAATGAGAGATGTGATGAGAAAGAATCTAGAAGAACACATCCACCTCACTGTGACCTGTGAGTCACAGCCCATTTAATTTAGCACCAATCATGCTTTTTAATGTCTGCAGAGTACATTATAATTTATTAGGATTACCATAAACTTGAGCCCGCAGCCTGGCACAAGGGCATTCCAGCCTCCCCCTGCAGAATGGCTTTCTGATAGCAAGTCTTGACGTCAATCATCATGAAACGGCTAGCTGTACTTTTTCTCCTACCCTTCTGATTTTTGTCCCAGAATCTTCAGGTTGGCAAAGCTTTGGCACCTGATAAATATTTATGCCCATCAGTGCCTGTCATTTTTGGCCAAGGATCCTGCATAGTGAACAGGGCTGAAGGGTCCTCATCATTTGCTCCTTAGAGCAGGGAGGAGGAACAGAACGTCTCAGGTTACGTATGTAACCCTGGTTCTTCAAGGGAACGAGACGCTGCGTCAAAAACGCTAGGGGAACGCCTTCTGCGACGCACGCTCTGAATCACATGTGAAATCAGTCCAATAGCTGAAAGGGACGTCACGGACGGGTGACGTCATGACCAGGAAGCTATAAAAGCAAGTGCGGCGGAGCCCGCGTCAGCTTCTAGGAATGACGCAAGCGCTGGCAGGGACGCCGGAAGTATGGCACCGAGACGCAGCGTCTCGTTCCCTCGAGGAACCAGGGTTACATACGTAACCTGAGACGTTCCTCTTCAGGAACTCGAGCTGCGTCGAAAACGCTAGGGGAACGAGAATGCCCACGCCTCCAGACTTCCAAGTCTCTGCCTAGTGTGGAAGACTGCACAGCTACGGCGAGAGAACAGAAGAGCCAGGAGTGGCTTGCATGTCTAGACCGTAAAACCTAACAAAGGTAAGGGGCGTGGACCAACCCGCAGCGTTGCAGATGTCCTGCATAGGCACACCCGCT